GATTCGCAAGTGATTGATCCACCTTCTTATTTTTCAGTGCGGTCAATGGTCTTGTCCCCAAATATGAGTTGCAGTCCTTGTGGTTCTGGTTCCCTTTCAGTGGAAGAGCTTCATGAAGCAAGAGTCGAATCGATCCCTCTACGAAACCCATCATCACTTGGAAGGATCGCTTGCAGCTTGAGAAATGGTTCTCACGCAGATTCTGTGAAACATGTTCTTCCTTACGAATCAGTAGACATTTGTCCTGAAAATCTTGAGAAGAAAATTGGATTAGATAATTTAGGAAACACTTGCTACATGAATAGCATTTCACAAGTGTTGTTCATGACGACGAATTTCAAGAACGAGGTTTTAATGATGAACAAGAACGAGAATGTTTTCTACTTATTTACCAAACACCTGTTCATGCAGCTGCAATTTCGTAAGAATGTATCATCTTTCCTTCCAACCGATTTCCTGGAGTCTTTGAAGTACATAAGATACTCGTTAGGACAACAAGAGGATTGTTCCGAATTCTTGGGGTTCTTGTTGATTACTTTTCGTAAGCAAAACAATAACAGAATTAATATTCCTGACCGCTCTGGATTGAATGATTTCGTACAGTCTATCTCGTCTTGTGTTTGTAAATCTTTTGCTGGAAAAATCCTCAATCTTCAACAGGTAGCAAAAACGTATGTGCATTTCTGAAACTTCAACTTGCGTTTCCTGACATGACTAATAACCGGTCCGTGCAAAGCTTATTGTTGAATCATCTGAAAATAGAACTTTTAACAGGTAATGATCGACTGTATTGCTAAACAAGCGCCAAACTAACTGAATGTTATAAAAAAACAAATATAGCTGAGGCACCAGTCAATCTAATAATAACACTGATGATCTTAAAACATGACTCAACCTCTGACGGAAGCACCAAACTCTTGCGAAGGTTCGAAATAGATGAACACTTCAATCTAGCAGACCACTATTATAATCATCATGCAGTCATTGTTCACTGTGGTTCTGGCGTTGAATCTGGTCATTATTAGGCCTTGGTCAAAGACGAAAACAGACTGGTTTAAGTTTGACGATAGTCGTGTGACTAAGTGTTCTGGCGATGTATTGAATTTATTGGAGTCTCTAGAGATACTCTACATTTTTTGTAGACCTTGAAAAGGTCTGCAAAAGTGTTTCTTTTGTGGAATGAATGAACATCATTATTATCAGTATATCAAAAATGAAAAAAATTTCAAACTCCATTATATCATATAAATGTCCTAGTTTTTACAGGATTACTTCAGAAAAGGGAATCACACTATAGGCAATTAGGGAAATTGACTTGAAAACTGCTATCTTTCCTCAACGTGCATTAATATACGATAAAAACAACGAGTTAACGAAACTAACAAGGAATTTTCAGTGACTATACAATTCAAGGAAGCCTTCACAGTTTATTTTTATCCGGCAAGTGTTGAAGTGGAAATTAGTGCCTCAGGTGAAACTCTGTCTGTATGTCACCACATCACTTGAGTTTTTTTTTATTTTGTTGAATTTGAAAACCATAATCACAGTTGGGTACATCGAATAACACACCAGTTTCAACGTAGATTTCCTTCTCTACTGCAAATCTTTTAAAATAAGTGAACGGTCATTAATTTTGGTCTGTTCTTACGGTTGAATATATTTTTTTTAAATCGTCTCTGAAATATCTACTTTCCTAGGTCTCACCAAATTGTGAATTCGGTCAAATTTAAAAAATTGAAGAAGGTGAACTGAATATTTGTGACATTTAGGACCACTGGTATCTTAATGTGGTCCAACACCGTGACGAAAACAATTTCGAGCAGTAGGGATTTTCGTATTTGTGAAAACAATTATTTTTCAAAGTGGAATGTTCTGTAAATACTTTCAATCATTCGTGGCACTCAACTTAGTTATTGTGTGAGCGTAAAAATATTTTTTTGTCAACCTCTACAAAAAATGACATTTGAAGCTGCATCCTCACTGAGTCGACATAGGCCTTTTCATCATAAGACGAGCGCAAGCGTAGCTGTCATATTAAAATGGCGGTAATTCAAAACATTCATCTGTTTCATTCAACAATGTCTAGGCAAGGAATATTATCTCTACAAACAGATAAATTATTGGAAACAACCATTGATGGTGCTTCACTCGTTAATAATTCAGTTGAGGCTCATAATTGTGAACAATTAAAAGGGTGGTTAAAACGTCATGGGACCCGCAAAAAGGAAAAATAGTGAGCTGATTGAAAGGTGTTGTATCAGCATTTGTTTACTATCTAAAAACATATAAAAAAAAATAGTATTTAGAGTTTTATTCTCATTAATAATGTCAATTTATTTGATGTAATTGAAAATATATTTCAGTTGACAAGAGTATAACCTACTTGTGGAACTAATAAATAAATCAAGTCATTAATATTTTGAGGCTGTACATATGACATTATTAATTAGACAAATATGGAGCTTCTTCTTCATTTTTCACGTTTTCCAACACGTTGTTTAGACTATTGTCATCGGCGCAGATCAGCAACCCTCTTAGACGAAACCGGCGCAGATACTCTATCAATAAAACAGAACGGAAGATGGAAATCCTCAACAGTCGTCAGGATTGCATTCCTAATAAAATAATCGTATGAAAAAGCATTTTAGCAACTGAAGCGCTCCAATAATCCAATATAAATATACAGTGCGGTCCATATGTATGGAATAAATTCATTTTTAGCGTTATTATGCACTATGTGAAAAACACCTGAAACAGGTCGATTTTTATTCTCAAATTGAAAATTTACAGTATGAAAATATTATCCCCCTCCAGCACCCCTTCTGAATTATAAGGACTCCCTCGAAAATTTTAAATAGCAAAGGGGGTCGTGTGGCACCTTGTTGGAAAGGGATTTTAGTCCTCTGCTCAGCACAAAAGTTTTTTGAGTCTACAGTTAGCAAAATTGAAAAAAAATTCGTGAAACTGGACATGTAAAAAATATTGGAAAACCAGGTAGAAATGTTCAATTTACTGATGAAAAAAAGTTGGAGTGTTTTGGAGTTTGAGAGTTTTGCATAAAGAAAAATATCACCCTTGCAAAGTTTAGTTGGTTCAGGAGTTAAATGAAGATGATCCTGATAGAAGGCAAGAATTCTGTGAATTGATGATGGACAAAATGAACGCAGATTTGCAGTTCATAAACAAAATAGTGTTTTCTGATGAAGCGACGTTTCATTTAAACGGAACAGTTAACAGACAGAACTGTAGATATTGGAGCAGAGAAAATCCTCACTGGATATGTGCGATTCACACTCAATATCCTAAAAAAGTTAACGTTTGGGCTGGTATCATTAACAGTAAAATTATTGGCCCTTATATTTTTGAGGGCACTGTTAATGGTGAGGTTTATCTATATTTTTTGATTAACTTTTTAGTGCCTACATTACAAATACATTTTCCTGATGTTAATCATCCAAATGAGATATATCGAACTATTTACTACTAACAAGATGGAGTTCCACCGCATTTTGCACGTACAGTTAGAAATTATTCAAACGAGGTTTTTCCTAATAGGTGGATTGGAAGACGTGGAACGATCGAATGGCCGGCTAGATCCCCCGATTTGACTCCTCTCGATTACTTCTTATGGGGTTATTTAAAATATGAAGTATATTTCAATAGACCAAACAATATTGCTGATTCAAAGTTAGGATAACGGAAGAAATTAACAGAATAACCCCCGAGGTCATACAAAATGTTGTACGAGAATTCCAAAATCGCCTCGATTATTGTCAAGAAGTTAATGGTGGTCATTTTGAACATTTAATTTAATTGTAAAGAACATTGAAAAATACATTCTAAATATTATGTGGCATTATTATCTTCATTCTATGTAAAGTTTTGTGATACCTAGAGACATTATCAAAATTTTACATCATAAAAATCAATTTTCTCAGTTATGATTGCACCAAACTTAAAAAACTATATATTGCTGAACAGAGGACTAAAATCCCTTTCCAACAAGGTGCCACACGACCCCCTTTGCTATTTAAAATTTTCGAGGGGGTGCTTATAATTCAGAAGGGGTGCTGGAGGGGGATAATATTTTCATACTGTAAATAAAAATCGACCTGTTACAGGGTTTTTTCACATAGTACATAATAATGCTAAAAATGAATTTATTCCATACATATGGACCGCACTCTATGTATAGCTTTGCGGACGACAGCACATTTGTCCCTTCATCACATTTGGATTCCAGGACATCAGCTGTGGATGCACCTCTTCACCAGCACCAAAAGGTTTTGAGGTTGAACTCAGTACACCTCGAACTTCACTGTTGAGGAAATCTTTCATCTGGAGAACTGAGTTTATGTGAAATAAACTTCCTGAGAACAGAGAGATCTTCTTCATAGCAATAATTGATCAAACCGTTCGTTCAATATTCATTTGCGAAATTGATTCAATTTTGTAGTATATTGAAAATAATGAGTTGTTACATTAACAAATGAGAATTCATTTTGTTAAAATTTATTAAAACTATGTTCGAAGGGTGAGGCGGAGCAGAAAATAGGTGAGTGATTACTTTCATAGAGGTTTATTAAAGGAATATAATGAAACGTAATTTTTCGTAGAGGTCAACAAAAAAACGAATATGCACTTCGGGGAAAAACTGTCTATTATCTCAACTTTGCTATCCCCGGCCCGAGTAAAAAATAGACCAGTTTTTGGTACATGATAACTATTCTGGTGTGTGAAAAAATTATTTTGTTAAATTTGAGGAAACCGCCAACCCGTACCATGAGATGTTTGATAATCCTATTTATCTTCTCATCCAAATACAAATCCGTGAAACCGTATTTCGAAAGGAACGAATAGACTACATGTCTCAATCATCGAAAGAAATTGATTTGGATCTTCCGCGAATAAACTATTCCATTTATTGATAAAAGTAAGATGTTCCAGTCAACATTTATTTGTTATTTGTGTATTAATCATGTCGGTGTGAATATGTGCTAGTATTTAGGATGTTTATCTCAAAATGAAACAGAGGCTCGCGTATTATATTTTTATACTAAAATCGAACTTTTCGTAACTACGGTTGACAACAATAAATTTCAATTATTTGTAACATGTGATTTAATGATTTGAGATGGAGCGTGAAATAATCGTGTTTCTATTTATCACTAAGTATTTCGATCTTGAATGATAAATTTTTGAAGCTTATCTTTTCCAGTCAGTACTTTATGTGTTGTGGTGTGCATCAGCGGACAGGTTTTGAAAAAGATAATGAAAATGTTCAACTCAAACAAACTGTGCACAGTGAGAATTCTTTTGGTGACGACAGTGCTGTTACTAGTGATTTTCATTGGAGTTTTGGTGCTCAGTTTTGTTGGGATGCCTTTAATCGTCGACGACAAGATCGCTCATGTAAGTTCATTTCTACCACCACTTGCTTTTTTTGTCGTTTCGAATAATACATCCATAGACTGACTTATTGGGACAATAAATTTAGTTGAGTTGTTCATGAACAATTATTAGTTGCAATCCTTTCGAAGAGTGAATTTAAAAGTCGCACTGAATTCAAAATTGGTGTAATAATTGTTAGAGTAGGTGCCTGAATGGTCATTCATCTGAGAAATGATGAGCTGTTACTGTTGCTTCCGTGCATTGACTGATACTAGGAGTCTCCATTATACACTTCATCGGACCAGAACGTTTTATTGGCATCGCTTTAGGCTTTGCCAAACAAAGGTTGAACACCTGGATGGCAAGAAGATTTATGGACTTCTGACAGAACCTTCCAGGATCGGCTCACTCCACGGCGTTTATTCACCCTTCGAAGCTTGATACCAAACAGTTGTTGGACTACAGTAGGGATGCACTACGATGTCTAACGGACCTTATTACAGACTCAGACTGTCGGAAGACAGTGTGTGTCACCTCTGTTTGGAACATGATGAAACAGCAGAGCACATACTTTGTGCATGCCCCGCTGGGGACCGAATCAAGTTTTTAGAGTTCGGTGGGGCCGTACTCTTACCATCTGACCTGAAAGACCACTCACTATACAAACTTATCAGCTTCGTTAAGAGGCTGTGTTTATTTGGTCGAGTGTGAATAAGTGTGAGCCACAATAAACCCTCGCGGGTTGCGGTGGAAGGTCGAATAGACCCACTTACTTTGGACGTTACCTAACCTAACCTCCATTATATAGCCCTATTTCCTTTCGATATCTCTTCAGTAGTCTAAATAGTTGGTAACCCTGTTATTACTGAACACTGAACACCGAACTCAGTGTATCAGCCTTGATCACTTAAAATCTGCAGTTCTGAATCAGGCTTTTCCTTGTTCATTCCAAGGTACAAGGTAATAAACTTTCGTCTGTCGGATATGCTGCAGAAAAATGTTGGGAAGACTAAGACGTACGTCCCAGACTCTACTGACTTCCTCGAACATTTCGAAGGTATCACCTTGGAGCCGAATGATATTCTAGTTAACTTCGATATTGTTTCCTTATTCACAAATGCCCCACTCGAGAAATCCCTCAGCTATATAGAGGAGATTTTTCCACAAGATATCAACTTATTTCGACATTCACTAACGACAACCATGAACAAGTTGATCAAGTCACCATGGGCAGCCCACTTAGCCTATTGATGGCGAATTTCTAAATTGAGAAATTTGGAGAAAATGCCATTCAAACTTCAGACCGAAGCACTGGTTGAGGTAGATGACAAGTTCGTTGTTTGGAGCCATGGAAAAGAAGAACTTCAGAACTTCCGAAATCATCTGAATAGCTCACATCCAAAAATCCAGTTCACCATGAAATTAGAAGAACACCACCTTTAGTCATTAAAAAAGGTAATCAACCAGGCCATAAGGTGTATAGGAAAAAAACACACACAAATCGATACCTACATAATGAATCCAACCATCATCCAAAACAGAAACGAACCTTTATCAACACCCTAGTGAACAGAGCTTCGAGAACATGTGAAGGAAGGTACGTCGACGACGAAATTAAACACCTAACAACTGTGTTACAAGCGAACGGTTACGACAGAAAAGACATAATCCGCGCTACTCGTCCAAGGAAGAAGAGGAACATCAGTGAGTAGCAATTCCAAGGCACTGTCTATCTACCATACATAGAAGGTGTCACCAACCAACTGTGATTTTGAATATGCTGGCACCCATTATAGGAGGCCCAGTACAATATCGAGATAATTTAGCTTCTCTTCATGTAGCCTGTGTGATTTGTTGTCCTTCATTATTCATAGAGAGCTACGGCTTTTGTACCACTAATAAGCTTCAGCCTGCCATAAAAAACTTCTAACACGCAACTCAACCAAGAACTCCTCCAACAAGTCCATGGGTTGTCCATAAATTATCCAGTTGGCTCACAGCCATGTCTGTTCCCTTGTTTCCTGAAAATGAATGGTGTCTTAGGAGTAACCCTATGAATATTGTTACGAACATTCTACAACAATTGATCACACTGTACTACTGATCACACTGTACTACTCTAAACTTCACACTGATTCTGAAATGTCTATCGCCTTATCAGCCCAATGCTCATTGTACTTTCCGAATTTGATTGTCCTACGTTGCGGTATTGCTTCTCTGGAAGCTAGTGGAACAACTTTAGAAAAGACACGGCGTTCTAGGACAAGTGTGGCTGCGCGTGACCTTGACTAAGTTGCAGTCGTTCGAAGAAGACCAGCGCCAGCCGGCGTTACTTTTTTTCAGGGGATGATTTACAAAATTATTCTCAGAAAATCTACAGTTCTCCAGTTCTTTTCTCAGATAGTCCCTTCATAAATGTGGTCCCTTCATAGATGTTTCCCTCTGTGTGTTCCCAGGTGAATTTTCCCAGTACTCTTTTGTGTTTTTTTATTGAATTATTTGAAGTTGGCGATCTGTATTAAAAACACTCAAGAGCTTTTTTATTGCCTCTAATTCCTGAGTGCTCTGGCATCCAGTATAGAGTCAAACTATTCCAATATAGCCTGGCTGTCTGTGAAAATATTGATCCGCTCATTTTGTTGAGAACTCAAAATAATATTATTTGCGCATTACAAAATTGCATACACCCAGCAGATGGTCGTGTTGTCAATTTCTTTCTGCCGAATATATTCCAGCTCCCGTCGTATGTTCGGTTCCCGACCCAGCATGTGTCAAAAGTGTACTTCGGTGTTACGTGGTCCTTTCGTGAAGAAATATTCACATTCTTCTCTAACAGATTCTCAGTGCATTAGGATTCATTTATTTTTCAGATTACGGAAGGTTGATAATTCAAAAACATAAAAAACCGTGGCTCTTCCACAAAAAACGCTTCTCTATTCTTAGAATTTCATATTACCAAAATTCCAAAATATTCAGGAAACATTTTTTTTGTGTCTTGATTTTTCAATCTGAATTATATCCTGCAAATATTATTTATTCTATGTAATCCCCAATTTGTTAAGGGCTTAATTCACCAACGAAGAAAAACGAGAAAAATAAGAAAGAATGAAGTTGATGATAAACCATCATATAGTAAGGAAAAGTGCAATTTGTTTTCGATTGTTTCTTCAAATAAATCCAGTTAAAAAACATAAACTATTATCCAAACTTTTGTATTTTCTCGAATATCGTAATATGCAGGTAATATAAAGGTATATATAAATACAATTATGCCTCAGGGGTATTTTCGGAAACTGAAGACTTATCAAAAAACTAATAAATAGAGTTCATTCTATGATTTTCACTATAAGGGTTTTACAAAAACCGCGACACGTGTTTCGCTATACAATAGCTTCTTCAAGCATGACTAAAGTTACTTCTAAAATACACCTTATATACTATAACCTAGTAACTATTCGTCTACCTAAGTCAAAGTATATTTGTGTTCCTTTATGCGGGTTTTAAACGTTCTTCCAGTTTGATCTATATAAAACATCGGACATGAAATATCTTCATAATATTTTTACCACATTTGCCTTCCATAGTCGCTTTATGGAAATAGTAGTGCATATGACAAGTCTATCGCGCAGGACCTGAGATCATTGCGAAATTGCTCTTAGTATCACGAGCACAAGCGGCGTCAGCCTATATCCATATCAATAACGCGACTTCACGAGTTATTTAAACACCAGGCTGCTTCATAATACGAGACATATCAAATTCATTGGGGATAATGAGAAGATAGGAAATGAATCCACTCTTAGTCAGAAAATGAAAACAGGCCGTATTTATCCTGGACCATACCACCGTTAAAAGATGAATCCTTAGTTCGCACAAGTTTTGATTTCTGAGGGTTGTTCTTCGTACGCGCCCACCGAATATACCAAAGCTTGGGAGAAGGCAAATTTTCTGGAAAAATCTCTCCACAGTCATCACATGATACCTATCATGTAGGTAAACCCAAACATGGCGAGTTGTTGATGGATTCCGCAAGAAATGGGCTCTCCTTCGAATTCACTGAGCCACAATAAACCCTTGCGGGTTGCGGTGGAGGGTAGAATAAACCCACTTACTTTGGACCTAACTCAACCTAACAAATGTAGACCGACCCGCAGCTAGAAGGAATCCGGTATACACCGGGTGTTGCTAAATGTTATCTGGGAGCTGACCTGAGATTTTATCTGAGAGTTTTTGTTGGCCTAAATATTAGTTTCACGTCGTGTTCCTCTAAGATTCTCCCAATCCGGTCTGTAACATTTTTAACATAGGAAAGGAAAGCTTTTTCTTTGACCAGCCTAGTTGGGGTTACTTTGTCGTTCTCTCTCTTGGCTCATATGACCTGCCCAAATTCTCCTTCGCTGTACCTAATCCCTTTGAAAGCATTTTTTTAGGTGATTGAGTTCCTTAGGAAGACTCAGGTTCGCAGATACGTCGTGCTCTCCCAATCAAAGATTTCATGTTTCCTTTTTGAGTCTACTTCTTTTATCATGCACGTTTTCATAATATACAAATGATTTTGATATCGAAAACATGATATTGATATTTGTAATTCATATATGCGTTCAATTTTGCAATTAACTGATAAATCCATAAAAATATTAGCTTCTTTAAATTTGGAATTGAGTGTGACGAAAGTGATCGTCATATCAACCTCGATATTGTGGTGTTGAACGAGACGTCAGCTGAATAAGCCAGTGTCATTAGTTACACTTCAGGCGTTGTCTTATCACCGCCATGAAAATATAAAATATGAATAATCATTTGTGAAAATGGAAATTGCAAAAAAACCAGCTTTCACGTTGAATTTTAGTTTCAAGGTTTCGTTGTACGATAAGTAATTTGAACCAATAGACATTCTAGAACGATTGCCACCAATGAGGGTTATTTCTAAAACCGTACAACTTCAGTATTTCAAACAAATATTCCTATTTCCGAAGAACCTATTCAGGCCGTCATTTACAGGAAATAGTCTGGATCGGACT